GGGGGGGGGGGGGGCCGGGGGTGAGGTTGGAAGCTGTGAGGCAGGGAAGTGATCCCGCCCCTTCTCACACTCCGCTCCTCTTGGGGCCCCCAGACTTAGCCCCGATCTGGTCCCACGGCACCTGGGCAGACTGCCCCAGCCACTCTGGGCACCTGGGCAGGCCCTGCTGTGGAAGTGGGGGCTCCCTGTCACTCCCTTGGGCCCCTGAGGTCTCCCTTCAGTGCTGGGCCCTTGTGGGGATGGACCCATGTCAGCCTGTCTGAGCCTCCTCGCACCCCGGGGGCAGGCGCGGCGTCACTGGGAAGAACAGGCCTGGCACAGGTGGAGCTTGCTGGGGGGCCCTGGCCCAGCCCAGGTGCCCTTGCCCGCTTCTGCAGGCGCTCACAGGCCCAGCTCCCCGCCCCCCTCCAGCTCTTTCGCTCCCTCTCCTACAGGTCACCAGAATCTGCCACGAACCCAGGGAACTTGGAGGTGCAGACACCACTTCCCCAGGGACCCTCAAGCTGTCCCCACCAGCCTGACCCCTGAGAGGCTTGTTCTGGGGTTCCTGAGCTGGAGGCAGAGGGGCGTGCTGGCCCCGCTGGCACCTTGTCCCCATGCCCCTGTGGCCCCCACTTTGCTGTGAGTGCTGCGAGGCTCAGCCCAGGATCTGGGTGCACTCTGGGGAGGCCCTCCTCCAGCCCCCAGGACCAGCCCTGGCCCCAGAGAGCACCGGCCCCCAATCCTAGAATGGTGCCCACGCAGTTCATCCTGTGGAGGAACAGGCAAGACACGGCCCCTCCCTTCCCAGAGCCCCCCTGGGGGCTCCCCTCCCTACACTCCCCCCTGTCTCCTGTCCGGCCGCTGAGCCCAGCCCCGCTCCCTCCCTGGCCAGTGCACATGGCTTTGGTTGCGTAAAAGAGAAAAGCTCAATGGATGGGAACTGAAGGAGACTTTCTTTCTCCTGTGTGAGGGAATGCTGGCCGCTGGCGGCCCTGGGCAGCTGTTGACACCTCCCCAGAGTTCTTGGGGGACCAGCTTGGAGAACTTTCCCAGAGTTCTTGGGGACCAGCTATGACACCTTCCCAGAGTTCTTGGGGCACCAGCTCTGTCCAACTCTCCCACTGCCCCATCCCGGCTGGGCTGGGCCTCGTCCTCACAGACTCACATGGAGGGTGAGGCTCAGGCCATCACACCCACGTTCTAGGCAGCAAACAGAGGGGAGCGACCACTTCCTTTAGGGAGCTTTCCGGAAGCCCTTGTAACAGCTGCTCAGATCTCATTGGCCAGAACTTGGTCACTTGATCACTCCTTGCCAAGGGAGTTTGGGAAATGTAGTTTCTTAGCTGGTGAGACCTGCCCCCCCCCCCCCCCCCCCATGCTGGCCCCACGTTGCCTCTGGCTGCCTGCTGCAGGGCCTTCTTTTGGAGCCAAAGCTCCAGGCTGTCCACACAGGCCGCCCTTCCGCCGGGGCAGGCGGCCTGTCCCGCTCCTTCCTTCTCAGGGTCCCAGCACCCCCGCTTGTCCTGCTGAGGTGGGGGGGGCCCATCTCACTCCCTGCCCAGGATCCCCCAACACCGCTGCCCCAGCCCAGGCGCTCCTGTCCTCGTCCCCACGGGCCCCTCTCCTCTGGCAGTGAGGTTCTCCTGGCACCCAGCCCTGCCCACGCCAGTGGTGCAGCTCGTCCTTCAGTGGCTGGTGCCCCTGCCACCCCACCCCCAGTTCCCCACTTGTGACCATGTGCCCTTGCTCCTGGGCAGCCAGCGTGACTTAGCACCCCTGCCCAGGGTGGCCCCTGGCTCTTCCTCCTGGGCCACTGAAACGTCACTCGGCTCAGAGGGACCGTCCCTGGCCACCTGCGGCTTTCTGGAGGGTGTGCTGTTTCCATGGGGAAGGGCAAGGCTGGACAAAGTGGGCGACCTGGGGGTGGGCAGAAGAGTGACAGGCCATCCTCAGGAATGCAGGGACTGTCACTTCGGGGGCACAGTTTGCACAGGACAGCTGCAGGTGCCCATCCCACCCCACGCCAGACAGCAGGGTGGTGGCCCCATCTGGAGAAGCCCCTGCCAGGTAGTGACCACTCTTTCTTGCCAGGACACAGCTGATGGTAGCTGGGTGCTGATCCCTGGGAGAGAGACCACCTCTCCTGCTTTCTGGGCAGCTGGATACTCCCAGGGGATTAGGTTTGGCCAAGCTGACAAGCGCAGTGTGTGCTGCTGGAGGCACTCCCGAGGAGGCTCCTCACAGGACACGGCTGAGGCTGAGGTACAGCCACTCTCCTGCAGACCCAGTGATGGCTGGAGCTCCAGCAGCCACCGTGGGCCAAGAGACAGTCTTGGGGATGCAGGCCTTGTGCTCTGATGCTGGGAAGGCATGGAGCCCAATGGCTCCATGCAGTTTCCTCACCAACCTGAGCACCACCTTAGGACTTAAGCAGGTTAAACCCTGGTGTTCACAAGGCTCTGTCACTGGAGTTTTCCATTCTGTGCAGCCAACTCTGACCGCTGACTCCCGGCCGCTGTGGCGGCCCTGCCAGTCCTCTCTCCTGCCACCCTTCTGCTACTCCCTGGCTGGCCAGTCAGTCTGCACTGGGCAAGGGGGCGGCACCATACCACCCCACACCCCACAGCAGCCCCATGGCCCCAGGAATATAAAACGAAGAAGCCATGAAAGACTGGTTAAATTCAACTACATTTTAAAAAATCTACATGGCAGAGAACAATGTAAGCAAAATCAGAAGATAAAATTAGATGTATTTGCAACTCATCATGTACAGCTTGTTTTCTCACTGAATAAAGAGTTCCCACAGTTTAATAAGAAACCAATAAACTAACAGAAAAATGAGCAAATGGTATGGAATACAATTCCCAGAAAAGGATAAACAAGACTGCTTTAACATATGGAAACTGCTTGCTCTCACTCCTAAGAGAATCATCAACTACAACTATAAGCTACTTTCTCGTGGAGCAAAGATCAAAACACTCATAAAGGGAAAACCAAGTCAGGGTCAGCATCTGGCTAGTAGGACACTGAAGGTATGCCCAACACACCCACACACACTCCCACACACATGCACACACCCCCCCAGCATACACACTCACGCACACACTCATACATGCACATGCACAATTACCCCCACATACTCACGCACACCCACCCCACACATGCACACCCATCCATGCAATGCACCCCCACATTCCCATGCACACTCACATGCACTCATGCACTCACCCCACATATGAATGCACGTGCATGCACACCCCCCACTCCCATGCACACAGGCATGCACCCTCATGCACACACCCCACATACATGCACACACAGCTAGTCGGCAAAACTACAAGACTCATTGGATCAAAGCATTTGAGGAAACCTAATGAGCTGATCAGGAAGCTGCCCGACAAGGACTCACATGGCCAAGCACAGCAGGTGCAGATTTGCATAACTGGTCCAGGAAAACACACTAAACAAACAAAAACAACAATTTGGGGGATGGGAGGATCTTCCAGAGTTGTCACATCACATTACTTAAAAAAGAGACACAAGAAGAACCAGGAAAGTAGAGTCCACACACAGAGGGAGAAAGTGGTCAACAGACACTATTCTGCAGTAAGCCCAGATGTTAAACTTACTAGACAAATACTTTAAGTCAGTTACCATATGTTCATGTCTAAAGAATTACATTACAAGAATGATGTTTTACCAATAGAGTATCAATAACAAGAAAAAATTAAGGAAAACAAAATAGACTTTTTCTGGACTGAAAAAGTACAATCATTAAAATGAAAACCTCACTAGAGCAACTCAACACCAGACTGTAGTTGGCAAAACAAAGAATCTAGGTCCTTGAAGATAGGTCAACAGGTCCAGTCTGAGAAACAGAAAAAAGAATGAAAAAAAAAAAACCCCAAACAAACAGGCCTGAGAGGCCAGTGTACACACATGATGGGGGTCCTTGAAGAGGAAAGAGGGGCAGGGCAGAAAGAATCTTTGGAGAAATAATGGCCAAAACCTCCCAAGTTTAAAGAGAAACCACCTCTACAAGCAAGAAGCTCGGCAAAGCCCCAGCAGCACATGGGCAATGAGCCCCTGACTAGACAGGCTGTAGTTAACAGCAGGACGGTGAAGACAGAGCATCTTGAAAGCAGAGGAAAACCCAACTCAGTATGTAGAGGCTTCTTTCTCTGAAAGACTGACAGCTGCCTTCTCGCTTGGAACCCTGGAGCCTAGGAAGCAGTGATATAACACATTCAAAATGTTTAAAGAAAAAACTCTTACACCAAGAATTCCATACCCATCAAAACTACTCAAAAATGAAGAAATGAAGACATCCCCAAAGAGACAACAACAAAGATAGTTCACGGTTGGCAGATTCACATCCTCAAGGAGACACAGAGGGCGCGGGTGAAGGCAGCCTCAGGGCCGATAAGACGGTGTAAACATGTCTATGAGCCTTTCCTTTCCTACTGAGCTAAAGAGTGACTACATAGAGCAATAATCACACACCTATGTTGATGGGCTGACAACCCGTAAGATGCAACTTGTACGGTAAGAACAATGGAAAGGAGCTGGAAAGAAACAGAGTTCTAAGGAAGCAGCTTTGTAACCACTGAAACCAAGCCGGCATTAATCCAAACTAGAGTGTATTAGGTTGTTCATCGTAATCCTCAATGCAACCACTGAAAAAATTACCTACAAATAATGAAAGGCACAAGGGAATTAAAGTATTACAAGGGAATTAAACAGTTATTTAACACACAAGAAATCAGTAACAGAGGGAGTAAGGTTTTAAAAGACATGTTAAAAAAAAAGAGAAAAATGGCAGACATAAATCTTACCTTATCAGTAATTATATTAAAGGTAAATAGATTAAATGTTCCACCCCACAACAGAATTGGTAGAACGGACTAAGAAACATGATCAAATACATACCATCCATAAGAAAGACTTTAGATTCAGAGACGACGAAAGGAAAGGGCTGGAGAAGGATGTGTCATGCAAACAACAGAAGGTACACTCACATCGTACAAGACAGACTTTAAAGCAAACATTGTTACTAGAGACAGAGAAGGTTATGCTCTAAGATAAAAGGTCCATCCCTCAGGAAGAAATACCAAATATAAACACATATGCACTTAACAACAAAGCCCTAGAGTACATATAGCAGAAACTGACAGAAAAAGGAGAAACACAGTTTTAATAGTTGGGAGATTTCAATACCCCACTTTCAATAATGAATTTGACAGCTGGGGTAAAGATCAACACGAAAAGAAACCTGAGCAGCACCAGACACCAACCAGACCTACGGACTCCACAGGACGCCCACCACCCCGCCAAACACCGGGCTGCGTGTGAAGACTCTCCAGGAACCTACGGACTCCACAGGACGCCCACCACCCCGCCGAATACCGGGCTGCGTGTGAAGACTCTCCAGGAGCCTACGGACTCCACAGGACGCCCACCACCCCGCCGAATACCGGGCTGCGTGTGAAGACTCTCCAGGAGCCTACAGACTCCACAGGACGCCCACCACCCCGCCGAACACTGGGCTGCATGTTAAGACTCTCCAGGACAGACCACGAGCCTCAAACCCTGAAGAATGAAAGCACACAGGACGTGCTCGATGAAATCAGAAATCAAGTAACAGGAGGAAACGGGAAATTCACAAGCATGTGGAGATTAAGCAACAAACTCCTAAATAAACAACGGGTAAAAGAAGAAATCACAAGAGAAGTTAGAAAATAAGAATAAATAAACATGAATATACAATATGCTAAAATGTATAGGATGAAGCTAAATCAGTGCTTAGATGAAAATTTATACCCATAAACATCTACATTAAAAAGTAAACCTCAAAACAATAAGCTAAACTTCCAATGAAGAAAGTATGACAAAACTGAATTATAAATGCAAAAAACCCAAGGAAATAAAGGTTAGAGTGGAAATTAACCAAGCAAAAAATGAAAAATAATAGAGGACAACTTCAAATAGATCAACAAAACTGATTAATTCTTTAGCTAGACTAACCAAGAAAATAGAAGACGACTCACATTTCTAAAATCAGGAATGACAGAAGCGACACTGCTATCACCCTTGTTTTTGCTGTTTCATCACCGAGTCGTGTCCAACTCTGGGCGACCTCATGGACTTGGCAGCACCCAGGCTTCCCTGTCCCTCACCATCTCCTGGAGTTTGCCCAAGTTCATGTCCATTGAGTCGGTGATGCCATCCAACCATCTCATCCTGTCATCCCCTTCTCCTCCTGCCCTCAATCTTTCCCAGCATCAGGGTCTTTTCCAATGAGTCAGCCCTTTGCATCAGGTGGCCAAAGTATTGGAACTTCAGCATCAGTCCTCCCAATGAGTATTCAGGGTTGATTTCAAGATTAACTGGTTTGATCTCCTTGCTGTCCAAGGGACTCTCAAGAGTCTTCTCTAGCACCACAGTTCAAAAGCATAAATTCTTCAGCGTTCTGCCTTCTTTATAGTTCAGCTTTCACAATGATCTATGACTACTGGAAAGACCATAGCCTGACCATAGCCTTGACTATTTGAATCTTTGTCAGCAAAGTGACGCCTTTGCTTTTTAACACATTGTCTAGGTTTGTCACAGCTTTCCTACCAAGAAGCAATCATCTTCTAATTTCATGGCTGCAGTGATCTGAGAGCCCAAGAGGTTTGTCACTGCTTCCCCTTTTCCCCTTCTATTTGCCATGAAGTGATGGGACCAGATGCCATGGTCATAGTTTTCTTGAAATGTTTAGTTTTAAGCTGGCTTTTTCACTCTCCTCCTTCAAAAGGTTCTTTAGTTCCTCTTTGTTTTCTGCCATTTGAGTGGTATCATCTGCATATCTGAGATTGTTGATATTCCTCCTGGCAGTCTTGATTCCAACTTATGCTCCATCCAGCCGGCATTTCTCATGGTGTGCTCTGCATAGAAGTTAAGCAGGGTGACAATCAACAGCCCTGTTTACTCCTTTCTCAATCCTGAACCAGTCTGTTGTTCCATACAAGGCTCTAAGCAACAGCTTCTTGACTGGCATACGGGTTTCTCAGGAGACAGGTAAGATGGTCCGCTACTCTCTTTTAAGAGTTTTTCCACAGTTGTTATGGTCCACTTTGTCAAAGGCTTCGGTGTAATCAATGAAACAGAGGTAGATTTTTTTTTTTTTTTTAACTCCTTTACTTTCTGTATGATCCAGCAAATGTTGGCAATTTGAACTCTGGTTCCTCTGCCTTTTCTAAACGCAGCCTGGACATCTGAAGTTCTCAGTTCATGTGATGCTGAAGCCTAGCATGAAGAATTTGAGCATTAGCTTATGAGCATGGGAGATGAGAGCAACTGTCTGGTGGTTTGAACATTGTTTAGCACAGCCCTTCTTAGGAACTGGGATGAGGACTGACCTTTTCCAGTCCTGTGGCCACTGCTGGGTTTTCAAGTTTGCTGACATGTTCAGGTAGCACTTTGACAGCATTCTCTCTTAGGATTTTAAATAGTTCTGCTGGAATCCCATCACCTCCCCTGGCTTTGCTGACAGCAGCGCTTCCTAAGGCCCACTTGACTCCACAGCCCAGAACGTCTGTCTCTGGGTGAGTGACCACACCACCGTGGTTATCCAGGTCACTAAGACCTTTTTTAGCACAGTTGTGTGTGTTCTTTCCGTCTCTTCTGCTTCTATTAGGTCTTTACTGTTTCTGTCCTTTTCTGTGCCCATCTCTGGCTGAAATGTTCCTTTGCTATTTCCAGTTTTCTTGAACAGATCTCTAGTCTATCAACCTTATGGATACATAAATGATTATAAAGGAATACTATGAACTGTATGTATAACCTACATATTTCTAGAAACACACAAACGACTGAACTGACCATGTGGGATTTATCCCATGAACGCAAGGATGCTTCAACACGACAATCAGTGAATGTAGTTGCCATATCGGCAGAATAAAGGATAGAGACCACACAATCAGTTCAATAGATACAGAACGTGCATTTGACAAAAACTCAACTCCCTTCATGACAAAACACTCAACAAACTAGGAACATAAGGGAACGTCCTCAACCTGCTATGCGGCAACTACAAAAAGCCCAGCTACTGTCACACTCTGTGGAAAAAGACTGAAAGCTCTTCTTCTCAGACCAGGCACGAGAAGAGGATGTCTCTTCTCTCCAGTTCTCTCTGGCTCTGCTCTGAGGCTCCAGCCAGAGCAACTAGACAAGACAAAGAGATAAAAGGAATCCAAACTGCGAAGGAAGAAACACAACTTTCTCTTGCAGATGACTTGACAGTGTGTACAAAAAATCCTAAGGAATCTACACACGCATACACAGCCCTATTAGAACTAGTAAGTGAGCTGAGCACTTTCAGGACATACGATCAATGTAAAATGATCAGCTGTAATATCTAGGTATTAGTAGTAAACAATCCGAAAATGAAACTCAGAGAACTACACTTACAATGGCATCAAACAGAATAAAACGTTTAAGAATAAATTTAACAAACGCAACACCTGGTATAGGAAAAACTACAAAACTGTGAAAATACAAAGAAGACCTAAGTATATGGAAAGATGCTCTAAGTTCACTAAGTTTAAAATTTAAGACGACATTACGTTTGACCTCTAACATCAAAGGGGTTGGGGGTACCTACCCACCCTGCATCTGTGGTTCTGCCTCCGAGGATTCACCCAACCACAGCTCATGTGGGACCCCAAAGTATTTACCGTTGAAAAAAATCCTCGCATAAGAGTCAACACAATCCGTAAAATCTCAGACACCTTTTTATTTTTTGGCAGAAATTGACAAGCTCATCCTAAAATTTGTATGGAAATCTAAAAGACACAGAACGGCCAAAACAATGTTTTTAAAAAGAACAAAGCTGGAGGCTCTCAGACCTTCCCACAAGGCGCATCAGTGCAGACTCTGTAGTAGCAGCACAGCCTCAGGGACAGAAGGGAGACTCCAGAAGTGAGTCCAGATGCTTAGTGCCAGCTCACAGTCAACAAAGGTGCCAAGACAGGGAGACTCCAGAAGTGAGTCCAGACACTTAGTGCCAGCCCACAGTCAACAAAGGTGCCAAGACAGGGAGACTCCAGAAGTGAGTCCAGACACTTAGTGCCAGCCCACAGTCAATAAAGGTGCCAAGACAGGGAGACTCCAGAAGTGGGTCCAGACGCTTAGTGCCAGCTCACAGCCAATAAAGGTGCCAAGACAGGGAGACTCCAGAAGTGAGTCCAGACACTTAGTGCCAACTCACAGTCAATAAAGGTGCCAAGACAATTCCATGGGAGAAAGGACAATCTTTTCGATAAATAATGCTGACACAACTGGATATCCACACAAATGATGCACAGACAGAAATTAACTCAAAATGGTTGATGCACACCAAAGACCTAAGTTTAAGAGCAAGATCATAAAACTCCTAGAAGAAAACATGAATTACATTCATGACTTGGGATTAAACAACCGCTGCTTAACTATGATGTGAAAAGCACAAGTGACAAAATGAATAACAGACATATAGGATATCAAAATTCATAGTTTTTGTGTTTCAGAGAACACTGTAAGAAAATGAAAACATAGAATGGGTGAAAATAATCACAAATCCCATAAGGGTCTAGTATCCAGAATACACAAAGAGCTCTTACAACTCAAAACAGCAACTCAACTGAAAATGGGCAAAGGATCTAGATGTTTCTCCAAAGAAGATAAACAATGACCAACAAGCACACGGAAAGATGTTCAATATAGGTGGTTGGATGGCATCATGACTCAATGGACATAAGTCTGAGCAAACTCCAGGAGCTGGTGACAGACAGGGAGGCCTGGCGTAATGCAGTCCTTGGGGTCACAGAGTTGGGCAAGACTTAGCGACTGAACAACAAGATGTTTACCATCATTCATCATTAGGAAAATGCAAGTCAAAACCACAATGAGATGCCACTTCACACCCACTAAGATGGCTAAAATTAAAAAGACTGATAACAAGTGTGGCATGAACATGGAGAAATGAGCACCCACCAGATGCACTGGTAGGGATGTAAATGGTACAGCTGCTTTGGAAAACATTTCAGCAATTCATCAGTAAAGTTTAACACAGTTACTATACAACCCATCCATTTCATCTCTAGGCATAAACCCAAAAGGAATGAAAATATACGCCCATGCAAAAATTTGCACACAAACGGTCATTAACTGTATCTGTAATAATCCCAAAGTGCAAACCACCCACATGTCCACGATGAACGGGTAAGCGTGGTCTGTTCACACAGCGGAGTGTCATCTGGACGTAAGAGGACAATGCGCTGACTGCACCAGAGGGGACGGCCTTGAGGACGCTGTGCCACATGAAGGCAGCCACACCCAGGGCTGTGTGGGGCTGTGACTCCAGGCACAGGAAACGTCCCACAGGCAGACCCAGAAGAGAAGGGGAGAAGGCTGGGGGCAGGGCGGGGCTGCACTCGTCCTGGACGTTGAGCAACCCTGAACCACGTCACAAAGCGCACAGGCCATACAAGACGCCGCCTGGGAGCCAGGCTGCCCGGTTCACCCCACGTGACCAGGCAGGCGGCCCGTAAGCGCTGGCCGAGGTCCCCGCAGCAGGAACGTCCACGCCTCAGGGACATTTACAGTGTGCACCAAGTCCTCGCATTAAACACACTGGATGATGACTGCTGTTACCGCCCGCACCCAGAGAGGAGCTGACGACCACAGGGGATCATGAATGGGGTGGGCCCTAATTCAGGGCGTAGTTAAACTGATTTGCAAACTTCTCGTGCTTCTTCCGGTCCATCTGGTTCATGGCGGTGACCACCCTCTGCACAGCTGCCCTGCGAGGAAGCACAGCGAGATGTGACCAGGGAGGCCGGCAGGGCCCCAGGCCCCCAACTGCAGTCTGGCAGGATTGGGACCTCGGTGCTGGGGTGGCTGCTGCACTCGGGACCGCGTGGGAGCCCCCGCCCTGGTGCCCGCCTTGGCCCGGCCTGGCACATCTCCCACTGCTCCTTGAGCCCCAAGGGCGGCCTCCAGAGCCCAATCTTGCCCTTGAGAGCACAATCCCCCAGCAGCCAGGTGGGCAGAGGCAGCAGCCCCCGCCCAGAGCAGACATGCCGCCCGTGTGTGCGTTGCTGCCCCACTCGGCTCCCGTGACAGGCGGCACCTGTGCCTGGGAGGCGGCGTGGCCTCTCACAGAGCACGCTGCAGGCCACACAGCTTGCCACAGGAAGCCACTTTGGGGGCGCGGGGAGAACGCCCCAGGCTACACTCCTCGCGGCGTCAGCAGCCACCCTGCCCTCCACCCCGGCCAAGCCACAGAGAACCAGCCGTGAGCCCAGAGCCCAGGGTCACGATGCCCTGGACGTAGCCACTCCCGTGCCCACAACGCAGGGTCTCCGTGGGGCACTCAGGAAGCCACCCTCTGCACCCCCCAGATGTGGTGGTCGCTGGGAGCACATCCCCTGGCCAGTGCAGCGAGTTGGAGCACTGTCACAGCGTCCAGCCTGAGGACGGCCCCACCCCGAGACCTGGGTGCTGACCCGGCGGGCGCAGCTGCGCCTTCCCCGGGCACTAGCGGTGGGCAGTGCCTCTGGCTGCCACAGCAGCGGGACGGACGGTGAGGTGCTGGGCAGGCAGCCCCTCCACTTGCGTCCCAGCACACAGGGCAGAGGACGGGACGCCGTGAGGAGCACTTACTTGGCGAACACTTTCTTGGCAATGCGCGCGCGGGCCGTGTCAGCCTGCCGCTTGAGGTCGGTGAGGCCTGGGTGCTTCCGCCGCTTGCCCTTGCCTTTCCCGCCAGGCCTGGACGAGCCCAGATTCACCCCGGTGGCCGCCTCAACGTCCCTCAGGAACTCGGGGTCTTGCCAGTCTGTAGACAGACCCTGAGATTTCAGAAAACACCCACACCAACCTCACCAAGGCCCGACCCCTCTGGGGGGGGTTAAGGAGGGGTGTCCCCATGGAGCCCCGAGGCAGGAAGGCAACCAAATCTGGCGGCCGGGGGACAAGGCCACAGGCAAGTGGCTGCGTCAGCCTCCAGGTGGATTGTGGCCTACTCGGCCACCAGCGGGGCCCTTGGCCTGTCCCTTACCAGAGGGTGGGCATAGGCCAGCCACGGCCAAGGGGGCAGTGCCCACCGTGCCTCCTGTTTGGCCTGAAGCTAACTTGGCTCCAGGCCCGGTGAGGAGGGTGTCAGCTCCCCCAGGCCCCTCAAGACAGCAGGAGCAGGTGGTCCAAAGGGAAACAAACGTCCCCCAGCCCCAGCCTGGCCTCACCTGCCCTGGCTGCACCAGGGGCCATATCCGTGTGCCCGCTTGCCAGGATGGAAAGCGTTAACAGTCCAAACCCGGGAGAGGAGCTCCCAACCCGCAGGCAGAGGCCTCAAGGTCCACTCCCCTCAATTTGCTTCTCTCCCGGGGGGCGGGGAGGGGCAGGGCTGTGTGGAGGTCCCTGAAATTCAGCGTCTATCCAGCACAGCCCCCGCCAGTGTCCAGACCTACGGACCTTGGCCCCAGCTGGCAGAAGGGTACCAGACACCCCAGGCCCCGATGGTGAGCAGCTGGAGCTGGCGAAGGGGCTGGCAGTGAGCAGGACGCGTCCAGTGGGGGAGAGCCAGGCGCCCAGATACAGAGATGGCGTGGCCTCCCCAAGTTGATTTCTAAAGTGAAGGGATACGGGGCTGCACAATCCAGATACAGGAACGATTAATCCAAGATTAAGGAAAACTGTCCAAACAGTTTATCTCCCAGTAATGAGAAGGCGTCACAGTTTAGGAACCCAGTGAATGGAGCAATTGTTTAAACACAACGGAAAAACGCCGGCACCCAGTAGAGATGGAATGAGCATCTCAGGAAAATGAAGGAGCAATTTAAAAGCCTTTGAAGAAAATCAATAGGAGCCGGCAGCGGGCCGTCCTGCGTGCTGACGGGCCCTGGAGCCCCGCACGCATTGTCACCGAGGTGAGCGCCAGGGAAAAGAAAATTGCCCGTGTGCGAGGGAGGCGGGATCGATACTGCAGTTAGTAAAGAGACGCTATTTCACATCTGACTGGCCAGCGCCGGCCGTGGCCCCGGCCCGGTACCTGTTGTTAACAAGTCACCGAGGGCTGCAGAACCTGATACTCTTCAGGGCTGACACAAAAAATAGGCACTTAATTTGCTCCTGAGTGTGGGCCACCAGGGAAGGCCGTGGCCCATGGATTAACAGGTCAGGCCCTGCCTGCCGCCCTCCAGGCCCAGAGCCCAGGGGCTGACCCTGCTGTGAGGCTGAAATCCAACACCGATCTCTTGTGACGAAGGAAGGACCTGCTAAAGTGACACGCGGCCTGGCTGGGACCTGCAGGCCGCCAGCACCGCCCCGAGGACACGGCCACCCTCCGCCTCGAGGGGTTCTGGGCCTGAGTCTGTGGCCTTTGTCAAAAAAGTGGGGGCCTCCAGACCTCAGCCCAGGTTGACAAACCATGGGATACTGACACAGGTCAGGCCCCCACCCCACCCCGAGGGTACCCGGGGCTGCCCTGGCAGGAGGCCGCTTCTGTGGGTCCCCACCCTGCTTGCGGCTCAGGGGCCTCTGGGAGCCAGGCAGCGGCCAGCGCACGGCCCACGCCAGCACGGAGCACCGGCTCCCTGCAGCACGAGGAGAGCCCTGCGAAGGGCACAAAACAGCGTCTCAAGGGCTCCAGTCCCGTGTCCGTTTTGCATGAAACTGGTCTATGGGCCAGAAAACGGGGGCCCCGAGGAGGTGCCCAAGAGAGCGCTCCATGCTCAGAGGCCCAGCCTGGGGACTGCCTGGGGCCACGGGCAGGACCCTGGCCTTCTGCTCGCATACCACACACGGTCCACATACACTGCACACCACACGCACCCACAGCCCCGTGTGCGCATGCTGGCCAGGCAGCAGGTGAGCAAGCAGACGGGAACTGGCAGCCTCCAGGCAGCCCCAGGGCTCAGCCTCTTACTTTCCTCGCCTCGTTCTCACATGCTTAAACACAGGCTTAAAAACCCAGAACCCCAACAGAGGGTGACAAGGCAGTTTCCAGCAGTAGGGGAACCCACGCCACCCAACAGGAGCTGTGTCCTGGAGACGACAACTGAGCCCCGCAGGTGCCACGGGCTGGTCTGGAGGCTGCTGGGTGAGGGCGTCCTCACGCCAGGCCTGCCCCTCATCCCCCAGACACACCTGGGCGCCCCGCTGGCTTCTGCAGCTGCTGCCTCTGCTCTCGGGCCCTGTCCTCCGCATGGAGGGGCCGGCCTGCGTCGTCTCGTGGGATGATCTTCCCGTGGAAAGGGCACTGCGCAGAGAACAGAGCCATTCTGATGCAGGCCTGGCTGCCGGCCACCCCAGCGATGGCTCTGAGGAGGGCCGGCCCACACCCCCCCGCCCCAACACATGCCCCACAAGGCGGGGACCCCCAGGTGCAGCGGGACGGAGCCGGGCTGGGAGGGTGCTCTGCGCTCAGTCCGCCTCCACGGACCCCGGGCCCAGCACCACGCAGGTGGGGATGCAGGGACCAAGGTGCAGTGGCCCAGCACCATGCCCACGGAGGGTCCTGGTGCCAGGAGGCTAGAGCACAGCCCAGCCTTGCACCGTCTGCAGCGGACTGCCCGGCCCAGCCCCACCTTCAGGCGGTCTTGGCGTGCACAGAGCTGGCCGTCGGGCCGCGGGGCGCGGCAGCGGTGCTGCACAGGCTCGAACCGTCCCGCGAAGGTGAAGCAGCGGCTCCTCAGGGCCTCGGAGACGCCGGCGCTATCCACCTCGGCATCAACTTCGCAGGGCTTCCAGAAGCGGTGCTCCGAGTCACACCTGCACCCAGACCCACCTCTCAGCACCCAGAGCAAGGCCGGGCCTGCAAGTTCACCCAGGGGAAGCGAAGATGCCGAGCATGGCAGGGGTATGCCAGGCACAGCCCAGCGGCCTGACACCCCAGTGTGGCCTGGACCTGGTGGGGGGCTCCCTGACGGGCGTTAACAAAACACAAAGACCTGCGTCCCCCGCCCCTCAGGTCTGCAGATAAAGTGCGGGCTGGTGCAGCAACGCAGCAGCGTCCAGGAAGCTCCTCGTAAAGCCCCGGGCCCGGCCCACAGGAGCCCAGGCAGAGGACAGAAGGGGGTGGTGACAAGGGCCTGGGGCAGAGCTGGGAGCGTGGGCTGAGCTGGGGCTGGGCTGAGGCCCTCACACTGTCCTGATGCTCCACCATCAGGGCGGTGACAGGGCAGGCCCCTCAGGGGGCCACAGGGCCTCTGGGAAGGGCAGGACCACAGCCCAGCCCTGGGGCTTCAAGAGCCCATGGGCTTCGGTGGGCAGCCGCCAAGAGCTGTGTCCACTGTGCACAGGGGGCGCGGGGCCCTCACTCACTTGAGGATCTTGCCGGCCGCCGGCTCCTCCTGGCCCCAGTAGCACAGGTCCACCCCGAAGGGGACAACAGGCGCTCGGGCCTGCTCTGCCGCCCGCCGCGCGGCCTGCTCGGGTGCTAGCAGAGCCCTGGAGAGCAAGCAGGGCTCAGGGGCGGGGAGCCTGGGGCCGCCTTCGGCCACCTGCCTCTCCTGCCCCCCAGGCCCCAGGTTCGCCCCTGGGCCCTGACCCCTGACCCCTGCACCTCGGGCCTGGGCCCCGGGAGCCGGCCTCACACCGCGCTCCTCACACAGGGCTCAAGTGCCCTGACCTCTGTCCCTCTGGTCCCGGAGCCTTGGGCCTTTCCTTGGGGCGGCCCTGGCCTGCATGCCAGCAGGGAGGACTTGGGACCCAGGTCCCCACCCCAGGACGGACGAGGCAGGCACTGCCCGAGGGGTGCGCACACAGGGCCGCCTGGGCGTCACCTGGGGCTCAGGGGCGAGGCTGGGGGCCCGTGGGGCTGGAGCTGATGCCGCTGGGCGGCCGCAGAGGTGGGGTCGCAGGCGTCTGTGTCCGTCCCAGGCTTCTTCCTCGCTTGCGAGCCTGGTGCAACCAGACCTTCCTCCAGCCCTGAAACAGACATGTCTGCTCTTGGTCACCATCTCCGTGACCCTGCACAGACCCCCTCCGGTGACAGCACAGCCCGTATGAGCATCTGCCCGGCCAGTCCGGGCCCCACAGCTGGCCTCTCCCTGCCGAGGCCGCTGGACAGTGATCTCTGCGGGCCAGGCGTCTGCACCGAGTGCCCAGAGCGACGGGGGCTGTGTCTCTGACACCCTTGGACCGCATTCACCAGGCCCCCTGCCCCACTGGTGCCAGTGCCCGGGCTGTCCCTGACCCCTGCCAGCCCTGCCCAGCTGGGCATGGGGCCAGTGTCCCGGGAGGCAGGGGGTGGAGCCATCAGGACCCAGAGGTGCTCAACCCCGAGGGCCTCGCCCTCTCTGAGCTCTCCTCCGCATGGCAGGAAAGACAGCGAACAAAGCACCCAGGAGACGAGAACTGAAGAGGCGCTGGAAAAGGCAGCAGAAGACAAAGAGGGGACGCAAGCAGCCTGGGGAGGACAGCCCCGGCGGGGATGCGCAATGCAGGGGGCCACGCACACGCACGGTCAGCTCTCTGCACACGGAGGAGTGACATGTATCCATGTCCTTGTCACCTGACCCCAGAAAGAGAGGAAATGACTAGAGCAGGGGAAACAGAGTCCAGGTTTCCTGGAATCAGAGGAAGACAGAGGGGTTTCCTGAGGCTAAGAAGGAGACAGAGGAAGAACAGGCAAGTCACTCAGAAGGGCACTTAGAAACATCAGAGGGGAAGAAAAAGGTCTGAGCAGCTTTCCCCCCAAAGCCGTGACCATCCACGGGCACCACAAGCAGTTGAGTATGAGGTCTGAGGGATGATGTTCAAACAAGAGTTTTTCACCCAGCTCCACTAGGTGTCAAGGTTGTGGCTTCTACAGCAGATACCTTGGACCTCCCATCCAAGAAACCCTTCCCACGACACAGAGAAAACTGACAGGATGGCCAGGCGGGCAGCTCCAGGGGCCAGAGGCCCCAGAGGAGCAGAGCTACGAGGACACCAACAGGTTACAGCCCACCAAGCCCTGCACCTGGCCTCCTGACGGCACCTCCGTCCTTCCATCTGTGTGCAAGGACTCACTCAGAGAGAAGTGAGAGAGGAAACAGGCTGTCCAGACACAGCCGGGGTGTCTGCAGGCGCTTCCCTGTATACACAGAGCCTGGTGTCTGCAGGCTCCTCCCTGTATACACAGAGCCTGGTGTCTGCACGCGCCTCCCTGTATACACAGAGCCTGGTGTCTGCACGCGGCCTCCCTGTACACACAAAGCTTCACACCCGCCCATGTGCTGTCTGGTGCTTTTGCAGAAGCCTCACGATGCCCAAAAACCTGAAAACGTGTCCTCCAAGCCCCTCATGAGACTCGCCTGCCCTCCCTGCTCCAGATGCCGTCCAAGCTCGCGCACAGACTGAGTGTGGGGTTCACCCCTGCTTCTTGAGTGCTCGTGGCTGAGAGTGCAGGACCCGGGGCAGAGCCACTCATCAGTACGGCAGGTCCGTATGGGTCACCCACAGCCCCCAGCTCTAAGCACACTCAGAAGGCAGGCGGGGACCAGGCTCTGTCACTAGCATACCCCAGGTCCAGGGACGAGGTCTTCCAGACGCCCCCCACCCGAGATCTTGGCAACGCAGCGCTCCCAGCCCACGCACACGCGTGGCCACGCGCACGCAGGTAGGCAGGCTGATAAGTGGCCGCAGTGGCACTTACAAAGGTGGATACAATCACTGCCCAACAATCGATACAAGAATTCCTAAGAGTTACAAGAATGAAATATATTTTTCATTGATTTGTTGTTTTAAACCATTAAAAAGATGGGTAAGCGTGTTGAAGCAGGGTAAACAGTCAGGGCACTGAGAAAACACTACCATTTTCACACTGTTGTAGAAAACCAATCTCCATGACACACTTTCAAGCGAAAATCCAAAAAGCAGGGGAGTCCGCGGCCCCGGAAATGGTGCTGTTGGGGAGAACACCGATGGGAGCCCGGCAGCCATGGGCCCCACCTGCCAACCGGGGCACCGGACCCAGGCCCGGACCTCAGCTCAAATTCACTCCCGCAGCGGCTCTAAGAAGAATCACAAAAACGTCTAAATCCCCTTTTTGTTTAAAGTGACCAAGTGGCACCTATTTGCGCTGCAGCGGGGCGGGGGGGGGGGGGGGGG